TTGTTAATGAATGTATCATATATTATATTTCATTGTTTTGACATCAGATTTGATAGAACTGTAGATTTTTCTAATTTAGACTGAAGGGCTTAAATAAAGTGTCTTTTTACTCTTGTCCAAGTTTCTAGATAAATAGCTGAAAGCATTTTTTTAATTTTTTTGAATTATAAAGTATATTGGTGAGAGTCTTGTGTTTATCCAGCTTCTTTCCCAGAAGAGGCATCTGGAGGACTAACAGTTGCGTGAGCTCAGGTGTCGAGTTACTAAGCTCACATTTGGCTTCTGTGTCACTAATAGATTGCTAACGGCTCCGAGGCTCCATCTGCTCCTCCGCCCTCATCTTTTCTTCAAAACAATGGATTGATGCAGGAGAACCGGCTGCATGATCTCTGATATTTACAGATAAGACTTATTTTTGGCACAGTTTGGTCTAAGCTGCGTTGTCACCTCCTTTGACTCGTCCTTCTTCCTGAGATCTCAGAGATTTCGTCTATATCAACAAAGTCTTTGTTTCCAGCTGCAGTTTACTGGGAATAAAAGTCTGTTCAGAATGAAGATCAGCTTTGGGTTCGGTGTTTTCTTTATGTTAATCTCCTGCCAACTGAGAAGCTTCAACACTTCAGATTTCCTCTACTCTGGCTTTACTAAAGTCTTTGCAACTGAAGTGTGCAAAGTTAGTCATTTAATTTCTGTAGGTATTGAAGTAGGAGGATGTTGGTGCAAGCCTCGGGACTTAAATTAAATGTGGAACAGAGCTCATTGGGATGGGTGCAAACTGCAAACTGCAAAGAAACAACAAAATCTGCAGATCTCCTCACCCTCAACGAGGTCACTTGAATAATGTGTTTCCCACTCTCTAAAAAGCACGGTTGGAAACTGGCTGGTTGACCTTTTCACAGATCATTTCCTCAAGGGTGGGTGGACACCAAAAGCATTTAGTACAAGTCCTTCAGATGAATGATCGTGTCTCTGACGTGGCATGTGGTCACACTGATGGCTCAGCTCATAGCTTTGAAGTGTTTTATACTCCACATTGATGTATTAATATACTAAGATGTATACTAATATACGTCTGTCATCCTGACATCGAATAAACTGTCCTGACACAATGACCATTGAAAGCAAACACTGCTTCCCCTCGCTTTCTCCATTTCAACACAGACTATTAGTTTCTGGGCCACCTCAGCAAAACACCCTGCTGACCCACATCCATCTATGCTCGGGCCTCTCCACCCCTTTCCATTCTTTCATTTCCTTTTGCTACTCCCTGCCTACAGGAAGGATGAAAAACTGACTGAGGGAGGAAGACATATCAGAGCTGATAAGAGCAGAGTTCATCAGCACGCTGGTTCAGGAGATATGAATCAGCACACACATCTTAGGTACTTTTCAAAGATTCGATGTTTCCTGTGCAATAAAGGGCCAAGTATCCCAGATTGGGATTAGGTTGGGTTTGGATTAAGAATGGGAATGTCATCTTTTGTGCCAGGGACAGAGAAATGGTGGCCTTAAAAAGAGGAGGAGCTAAAACAGCTCATTTTAGATAGAGGACAAACTGACTGGCTGGACTGAGGCCCA